TGTTACCTTTATAGATACCCTTTAAAAAATTAGTGACTACATGTTCCACGCCTAGTGTGTCCAGTATTCCCCACAATTCCTCTTGAACCACGCTATCGTACGCTCCCTTGATATCCAAAAATGCTAGCCACAGGGGCCTGTGTTCCTTTTCTGCTGTTTCGATGCACTGCGTCAGTGAGAACAGATTGTCTTCCAACCTCCTGTGTTTCCGAAACCCATTCTGCAGTTCCCCCAGCACGCCATCATCCTCTATCCACGCCTGCAGTCTTTCCTTTATAATCTGCATCGCCAGCCTGTAGACCACTGATGTCACTGTTATAGGACGGTAGTTGTTTATGTCAGCTTTGTCCTTCTTTCCTTTATAGATCATGCTCATCCTGCTAAGTTTCCATCCATCAGGAACTTCACCATCGATTATTATTGTGCTCACTGCCTCTCTCAAAGCCTGCTTAGTGTTCGGACCTAATGTCTTTATCAGGCTAATTGGAATGCCGTCTGGGCCTGTTGATGTACTACTAGGAACCCTTTTCTCAGCCCTTTCCCATTCTTGTTGTGGAAATGAAGCCATTGCACCACTTGATTTGTCCTTGTCTATTGTGGTGCATAAAGTACTTCTTTGTTGAAATTTTTCTGTCACCCTTGTTCTTATATATTCAATAGCTTCGTCCCGTTCAAGCCAGGCACCTTGGGCTGTAGTTATAAAACTCTGCTCTAGGCTCGTCTCATTTCTTAGGGAGTTTAGATGGTTCCAAAATTTCGCAGCTGCCTTTCTATCTTTTTTATGTACTTCTGCCAGCCACTGAGCTCCCTTCCTTCTAATCTTTTCATTGATCAGAAGGGATGCATTCCTTCTACAGCTTAGAAAGGTTGCCCATTTTCTTTCAACATCATCTGTCGGTTCACCCCGCTGCTTAGCATGTCTGTGTTCCCTAAAGGCTTCCTGACGTTTTGCTATGGCTCTCTTAACTTCCTCATCCCACCAACTTTTGGGTTTGTGTCTTCTTTTCCGGGGTGACTTGTCACGCGTCTTAGCAAGCTCTAGTTCAAAGAGTCTAATTAGATTCGTGTATGTCAACACTGTCTTATTATCCTCCGTGATTACTTTCTCAATTTGTTTAGTGGCTATTTCAATTTGCCTTTCTGGATAAAATTTTCCTGTAGTTGCTCATCTTGTCTCCTTCCCACTTTCACTGCTCTTGCAAAACTTAGCTTGATACGTTTGTGATCGCTACCCAGACTTCTGGAGCCACCTTCATCTATGTGCATTCCCCTGAGCTTATCATGCATCCTATGTGACATCAGTGCATAATCTATCGTCGACTGAAGCCTTCCTACCTCCCATGTTATTTGCCCTCCACACTTCTCCGTACTGTTGCAAATGATCAAATCAAGCCTTTCACACATATCCATGATCATTTTGCCTGTCGGGTCGGTATACCCATCTTCTATGTGCGCATTCATGTCTCCTAGTATAATTATCTCGCACTCTCTTCTTAACTCCTGAATGTCCTTTGATATACACTTTACCATTGTCTGGTTTTCCTCTCTGGCCTTTGCTCCCGTCCACAAGTACACGAAACCAAGGAGTGTCATTTGACCTGCCACTTTCCCTTTTAGCCATAAATGTTCCTTCCACTCCTGCTTGACCCTTTGCCAGTCTGTACTTTTATGAATGAATGCCCCAATACCACCCCCCTTTCTGCTGCCTTCTGTTCTATTACAATATTCCCACGCGTAGTCCGGATTGTTCGGAGGTTGTTCCATGTCCCTGAGATGTGTTTCTACAAAACCATATACCATCGGCCTCTCTTCCCTTAGCTGTTCTTCTATCTCTTCCCACTTCAGCCTGTTCCTACCACCCTGCATGTTAATATACCCTATGTCTGAATTGGCTCGGCGCTCGTGGCTACGTCTATTTATGCCCCGGACTCTACCTATCTTAGACATTGGTGCCACTTTGGAATCGTATCTGTCCATACCACCTGTCGAAGAGTCTACCTGGTTGTTTTCCTCGTTACTAGCTATCCTGCATCCCGAAGGGCTCGCTTTCCCCCAAAAAAAGCTTCTGCGCGTCCTGCAAGTCGCCAACCCACCTCATGACCTAGCCGCCCATCGAAGTGAATTCTGTCTCGTTGAAAACCCCCCACCTATGCACCTCTCTGTTTATTTCCACCACCTCAAAGCCTTTCTCTCGACTCATCCGCCATATCTCTTGGTTTGCGTTGACCACCGCTCTTTGAAGGTTGCTATCACACACCGGTACCTCCGGTATCGTGCATATCACTACCTGTACCTTAGGAGAAGTGGCGCGCATGTCATCGACGCCTTTCGCCAGTGTGCCTGCTAGTCCTGCAGCATCTTCATTTAGGACATCGTTTAAACCGCCTGAAATTATCACGAGGTTTCGTCTATCAGCTGTCGTTTTGAGCTGTGCGCTCGCTTGCCTCATGACTGCTTCCAGTTTGCGTCCTGGGAACGCCCCTACTGCAACCCTCTTGTCACCTCTTACCCTCTCTTTGATGGCTTCTGTGCACTGATTTAAATTCGAGTCCCCGGCGATTATCACATGCTGTGACTTTTCAGCTGGAGCGTTCTGCACCTGGGGGCTACTTGCACCTGTGACGCCGGCTGCTTTGTTCCCTCCCTGCCCCACCACTACCTCGCTGAAGCTGAGCGTTGCGACAGTTGAATGATGGATGGATGGATGAATATGGCTGTACCCTTTAGATTGGGCGGTGGCTAGCGCCACCAAGCCGTAATACTTAATGAACTTAAAACTATATTTATTTTTTTCTTGAAAAGTGAGTTTGAGGATTCGTACTTTGCAGTGAAGAGTTTAATTTTCACTCGTGCCTTGACTTTAGCCACCAATCAGATAACCTCCTTCTAGTTAAGTCTACTTGCTTAAAGTCTATTTTGCCCTCCCGGTCTCTAAACCCCAGTGCTTTGAAAAACTTTGCGCCATCATCCTAAACTATAGGGTGAAGCCCTTTACAGAACATTATCAAGTGTTCGGCAGTTTCTTCTTCCTCTCCACACGCACTGCATACTGTGTCTACCCCTTCGTACTTGGCCCGATATGTATTGGTTCGCAGTACTCCCGTCCTTGCCTCAAGCAGTAGAAAACTACCCCGAGTATTATCATATATCCTTTCCCTGGCAATTTCCTGCTTAAAAGTTCGATAGATCTCTAATACGGACTTCTTAATCATGCCCATTTTCCACATGTCAGTCTCCGTTTCCTTCACTTTCTTCTCAACCGATAGTTCTTTTTGGTTTGGCCACCTGCTGTTTTCTAAGTATTTACCAGTCAACTTCCTGGTTCGCTTCCTCCATTTTGTGTCGACATTCTTCATGTACAAGTAGCTGAAAACCTTCCTAGCCCAACGCTCCTCCTTCATTTCTCTCAATCGCTTCTCAAATTTTATCTTGCTGCTAGCTTCCCTGCCCTCAAATGATGTCCATCCCACATCACCTTGTACTCCCTGATTTGGTGTATTCCCGTGAGCTCCTAAAGCAAGCGTACCTATTCCACGTTGCTCAATTTCTAATCTTGCTTGAACTTCTGATCTCATGCACAAGACCGCATTGCCGAAGGTCAGCCCAGGAACCATGACCCCTTTCCATATTCCTCTCACAACATCATACCTATTGTAATTCCACAGTGCCCTATTTTTCATCACTGCTGCATTCCTGTTACTTTTAGTCGTCACGTATATTTCGTGTTCCCTCAGGTACTCGGTCCCATTGCTTATCCATACGCCCAGATATTTGTATTTATCTGTTATCTCAAGCGTGACCTTCTGTATTCTAAGCTCACTACCTTCGTTGTCATTGAAAATCATGACTGCTGATTTTTACGTACTGAATCTAAAATCTAACCTATCTCCCTCATTACCGCAGATGTGCATCAATCTCTGCAAATCTTCCTTGTTGTTGGCCATTAGCACTATATCATCTGCGTACATTAATGCGGGTAGTGCCTGATCAATAAGTTTTTCTTGTTTGTCTAAAGAGAGGTTGAAGCCCAGCCCACTTCCTTCTAATTTTGCCTCTAATCCTTGTAGGTACATCATGAATAATAAGGGTGACAGGGGGGCACCCCTGCCTAAGCCCCCGTTTTACCTCTGCAGGCTTCGATACCCTTTTTTCCCACTTTATAACTACCTTGTTACCTTTATAGATACCCTTTAAAAGATTAGTGACTACATGTTCCACGCCTAGTGTGTCCAGTATTCCCCACAATTCCTCTTGAACCACGCTATCGTACGCTCCCTTGATATCCAAGAGTGCTAGCCACAGGGGCCTGTTTTCCTTTTCTGCTATTTCGATTCAATGCGTCAGTGAGAACAGATTGTCTTTTAACCTCCTGTGTTTCCGAAACCCATTCTGCAGTTCCCCCAGCACCCCCTCATCCTCTATCCATACCTGCAGTCTTTCCTTTATAATCTGCATCGCCAGCCTGTAGACCACTGATGTCACTGTTATAGGACGGTAGTTGCTTATGTCAGCTTTGTTTCCTTTTCTTTTATAGATCATGCTCATCCTGCTGAGTTTCCATCCATCGGGAACTTCACCATCGATTACTATTTTGCTCACTGCCTCTCTCAAAGCCTGCTTAGACTTCGAACCTAATGTCTTTATTGTCGGTCGCGAGCGCCACTGCGCGGAGCTTGTTTAAAACTGAAGGCAGGCCAACTCCGCTGGAAGCGCGAGCCATTCCTCAGGCATCTATCTAGAGGAGGCGTTGGTTTAGGACAAACCACTGATCTCCGTGGAGATCAGTGGGACAAACCTCGTTGATAACAAGACTGGCACTATCAAAATAAACAAAATTGTTTACCTTCGGCTCATGACGAATCATGTTTTTTTATTGCGCATTTGGAGATTATTGTAGTTCTAGCCATTCTAGCTCACAAAAAGTAGCCAGAGAGCGATTAGGCTGTGCCACCAATCGGAACAACAAATACTTATCACGTGACCTGAGCGGCTGACAACGGTGCCGCATTTGAATTACCGCTGGTTCGTCGGTGCAGTGCAGTGTTCTTTCGCTTCACTTGTGGTCCAAGCGTGGCACCGTTTATACCGACGAAGGCACCGACGCAAGTCCTTGGGTGGCAACGAGATGAGCCAGCGTGAGTTGGGACGACGCAATAATGTTTGCAGGCATTTGCCATGACGCAGGGCCGTATCCAGGAATTTATTTCGGGAGGGGCTTATGTGTCAACTTCGGCAACTGGTGGTCGATGTGAAGGGGAGTGAGTGCTTAAGTATCGCTCGAAAATGTTACAGCATGCAAAAACTTCGCGGAATGTTAGAACCCGCTCACCCTCCCTCCCCTTACCCCCCCTAGTTACTGCCTTGCTACGGGGGCGTGCACACGGGGACACCTTTTTTCTTCGAGTGTTTTGTTTATGGGCGACGTCTCCGGATATTATTATTCCGGTGCTATAACTCGTGTGTCAGCATCTGACTTGCAAATTTTCGTAACCATATACCATGCCCATCCAGTCAACCATGCGCTAAGCTTTTGCCGTGGTAGTTGCTAAGATGCGTGCCTCACTCGACTCAAAATGTTGTCGCTTGGTTGCTCTCGCAAAGCAACCAGTTTAGAGCTGGACGGCAGCGCATGAATCGTTAGAGAAAGGGACAAAATTATTTTTAAGGAGGCCTCATGGTGATTTGATTTGCGTGGACTGTTGTTTAGCACTTGTGCACCTGGGATAGAAAGGAAGGCCTGTTTACGAAGAATAACCGCATCTTGCTCGCTCATGTGCAGGCATGCACAGTGCGAATTTGTGCCCTACAATATGGTTGGCGCAGAACTGCATACTTCAGTATCATTACGGCTCTTGTTACTTCCATACGTAATTGTAGCCAACGCTAGCACTACGTACGCAATATAATTCTTCCACTGCAGCTTTCCGTGTAACAGGATGTGAGGACAGTTTGGAGGAGTTGAGTAAGGTTTGCGTGGTCGTGTTAACGTATTGATCTCTAGGGTAACGTCCACGAGACTGTTGCCCTGCGTGTCTACAAATAAATGCTCTTCAGTCATCCCCTATTCCGTCCAGTTATGCAGGCGCAGCAGCATAATTTCAGTGCATTGTGCGTGGCGTTCCTCCAGCCACAGTTAAAGGGTGCAGCAGCAAAAGTATATTCGAAACTGCAAAAATGGTGACAAAAAAGCATACTGTGAGGCAACATGCTGGACTTAACCTCAAATGCAGTTTATCGAAACATTCAGACATAACTAGAGCAAGAGTTGGGACTTGTATACTGTTAACACTGCTTGAGTAGCTGGTTCCGATTCTGCTGTTTGGATAAGATTGAGTGGATCACATTTTCTTTTTTTTTACCAGTCACATTTTCTTGGGTAGTTTTCTTCCCATGCAAACCATCCTAAAGGATGGCCGAAACAATTACTTTTTCAAAACTCACTGTGAAACATAACACTTTCTTTACTGCCAGTAGCTGTTGCTGCCGTGCATGCTTTGCTGGTGCAGCTGTTGAGTTGTGAGCGTGCCACCCATGAGGAACATCAATCATAACACCCTCAGCATGAACATGCGTGTGTGTGTTACACTGTGATGTCAACGAAAGATACTGAAGAATTCGAACTTGCCCTGTCCAAAGAAAAACATATATTGACATTTCAGGACCGCTACGGTCCCTTGTTCACAATGAAGAAATTGCAAAAAGGCTTGACTGTTTGTGTGCTGGGTGGTGCAGAAAGCACATGTATACCTCGGGGAAACTACCCTGCGTCCGGTTAATTCCAGCACTTTAAAGGAGTCGCATCAATGGGAGCTTCTGTCAGTTATGCTCGCACAATCCGAGCTTGAGGGCTTCCATGTTTCATCTCTGCACTGAGCAGCTCTAGGTCAGCATGATGAATCCGTAAACGGGAAGGTGATTATCATGGGGCCATCGATGTAGCTCACTGTTGCTGTGAGTTTCTGTGCCACTTCAAGGAAATCGAGCCTGTCAATGCAAAGAAAGAGAGTTTATTGACAATAAACCACAACTCGACTAAATGGGTTGCTGTGGCAGTGCATGAATTCAAAGGCAGAAGAGTTTGTCCCCTTCGTTGACCTTTTTCCAAGAGTCGGTGCAAACACCAGATGGTCAAAATTTTAGGGGCCCTCCGCTATGGCGTCCCTCGTAATCATGTTGTTATTTAGGGACGTAAAACCCCACATATTATTATTACGTCCAGCCACAACAATAATCTGCTGCTAAAGTTGTGTCCGCCGTGTAGTTGACAGTATGAATTGCAGTTTTATTAGTATGTGGGGACCACTGCTCACAGACCTGCGCAGCCTCTGTCTCCTCACTGATTAGCCTGGCGTGACATGGCCACTTGCTGCAACACGCTTCCCATAAATGACAGTGCCATCGCAGTTTCACCGGAGGCTTACGTGACCACTGGTGGCTATATAACCCTAGCTACCAAGCTTGGTTTTTTATTGTTTATCTAACCTTTCAAGCGTAGCGACGGCATGCTTGCTCCACTGCTACTACCATGTTAATGAATGATCGTTACGTTTTATGTTGGGATTCGCCCTTCATCGACCCGGAATTTACACATCTGGTGACCCAGATAATGAACTAACCGCAAGGCCATGGCCGATTAAGAAGCCCTCCCCACTCTCCACCTTGAAGTGCAACAACTTCAACAGGAACTGAAGACCCAGCAACAGCAACAATCTCAAAACGCCTCCGCAAACGAGGCCCTGCCTACCAGCTCCACTGAAGACGTTAGAGCTTCTACGGAAACTATCCGGCACGCTGCTTCCTGGCGTGTTGCTGTCAAGCTGCCGCCAATTTGGGTTGACTCGCCCAAGGTTTGCCCAGGTCGAGGCCCAGTTCTCTTTGGCGCACATCACGCAAGACCGGACCAGCTACGATTGTCATCGCCCACCTGGACGCACGTTACGCCAACGAAGTCAGAGATATTCTTGCTAACCCACCAATGCCCAACCTGCACGAACACCTGAAGGCTGCACTTCTCTGCTGCTTGACATTCTCGAAAGAACTGAAGATGCGACTACAGTCCGCGGAGCTTGCTGAGCACGAACCTCCGCTGTGACACATGCGTGCGCTCGCGGGCAACATAGTCCAGGATTCTAAAAGAACTTGTTGTTGGGCTAGTTGGTAGAGCATTTCGAAAAGTTAATTCGAGCGCAAAAACTTGACACAATCACTCACACAGGCACACACCCATGCATCAAACACATTGTGTTTGATGCATGGGTGTGTGTGTGATCGTGTCAAGTTTTCGCGCTCGAGTTAACTTTTCTAAATAGTCCAGGATTATTTCCTGCAATCACTTTGCCTCCGACTACCCCCGCACGCCCAGGCAATGCGGCAGGCTCGGGTCGGGCTACTTCTCCATGAACTCGGGGAAACTGCTGATCGCATCGTCGAGGTCTCCTTGCCGCAGTTGTCACCCACCACCTAGGCTGTCACTGCACCGCTGAACACCACAGAGCTTGCGCGCCGTATTGGTGACATTGACGGCTTACCTCCATTCAGCACCTGGGTGAACAACACCTGGGTGAAGCTTAGCGCAGCGAACCGGTCCACATTCAAATCAAGACATATGGCTTGTTGCGAATGCACGTCCAGCTCAAGAACCTATGCCGTGACCTTCACTGCAACTTTGTTGTTGCCAATCACCGGCTCAAACTTTCTTGCTCTCTACAACCTCCTTTTGGACTGCCGCAATGACCGGCTCATCTACGCAACAATGGGACGCTCCACACCAGGCCAGCGAACGACCGCCCAACAGCCAAGCATCAAGGTCCTCAGTGCCGTACCATGCCATCCTCGCAGAGTTTCCCGGCTTGACCTCCTATGCGTAATGCCACACAAAGTGCAGCACACCACCGTGCACTACATTCAGACCTCTCCAGGCCTCCCAGTTTTCTGTCGCGCCCGTCGCCTTGCCCCAGACTGCATGCACATAGCCAAGGCAGAGTTTGAAGCTATGCTTCGAAAAGGCATCGCCTGTCGCTCCAACGGCCCACGGGTTTCCCCACTTCACCTTGTCCCAAAGAAAACCGCTGGCTGGCGACCATGTGGGGACTACCGCCCCCTCGATGCGCGCTCCATTCTGGACAGGTACTTCGTCCACCACATACAGGACTCTGCCCATGGCATTGATGGCTACCGCATCTTCTCAGTGCTAGACTTGGTGAAGGCTTCAACGCACAAATCCATCAATCCGGATGACGTTCTAAAAACGGCAATAATCACCCGGTTTGGCTTGTTCGAGTTTCCGTTCATGAGTTTTGGCCTAGGGAATGTAGGGAAAACCTTTAAGCCCTTCATCGAAGAAGTCGTCTGTGGCCTCGACTTCTGCTTCGTCTATCTTGATGACATATATTGGTCTTTTTCACGTGATGCCGAAAAACACCATGGGCACCTTCGTCTGTTGTTCCAATGACTTGACGACCACGGCCTGCTCGTAAACGTTCAGAAGAGCATGCTCTGTGCTTCCACTGCCCATTTTCTCAGCCACGAAGTTTCGTCAGAGGGAATTCGACCTTTGTCTGATCCTGATCGCATCTCTGACTTACAAAAGTCAGAGATGCGTTCAATCGTTTATTTTTGGGATCCATCCTTCATCGACCCGGCATCATACAAGTATTTTGTCAGTCTCGGTGGCTGGCTAGTGTCACTGGAGTGCTGCTGCCTTGAGGTGCACCTTGACTGCCTTCTTTTGCTTGAGCGAAGTGCGTCACTACTGCAAAGGCTTGAAGCATATGCCGCTGCCACCAATGTGGCAAAAAATAATTGTGCTGCCCTCGATGCAGTAATCTATCTTGTAATGTTAAAATGATACTTCAAAAAGGCAAACAAAATATAAAAGCATGCAATCTGTGAAGTTCATTAGAACAACTTTATAACCTTGCACGACACGTTAGCCCGCTGCATTGAAAGAGCCAATCAGCTCGAGGAGTCTCAACAAGCTCCATTTGCGTTGTTGCAACACCAGACTCTCTCTATCCAGGCGTAATGGTAGGCACTTGGTTTCAGAACATGAAAAATACTTCATCCTATTCATGTATGAGTTAAGCAGCAGAACATACAGTGAAGGAGTTTTTCATGGGTATTTCTTTCTTTTAATACATCTATTGTGACATTGGGTGACTACAGCCCATCTTGAGTTGTTGCTTGCGCACAACACTCGGTGTGCATGTAAGGCTGTAAACTCCAGCATGTTTGGACATGAGTGGGCCAACCCGTGATCTCAGCAGCATAAGTTTCCCTTTATGAGGTAGCAACTGTAACTGTACAGGAAATTAAACTTCATTTCCCACATGAATTACACAAAAAAAGAAAGCAAACAAAGCGCTCAACATCCTGAAAATACTATCGTGGAAACACTGGGGTGCCGATCGAGTCTGCCTTTTATGCATATACCGCTCAATAGTGCGCAGCATACTTGGCTATGGCAGTGTCATTTACAGGTCAGCCACAAAATTTTACCTCAAATGTCTTGACCCATGGATTGCGCTTGGTGACTGGGGCGTGTAGAACTTCACCCCTTCAGAGCTTGTATGCTGAATGCAACGAGCCTTGCCTGGAACAAAGAGTGGTACTTAGTGTATCCTATATATTAAGAACCCGATTGAAATCAAGCCACATATGTCACACTATTGTTTCTCACATTGGTACCAGAATACAATACTACAGACCGCACACGATAAGACCACTTCTCCTGTGCTTTGAAGACATATGTCTAGAATATAAGGTACCGAGTCAGGCGTTAAGTGTTGTCCGAACGCCGGAAGTACTGGCTCCATGGTTGGAGTTCTCGCACTACTTAACTTTCCCTTAACTCATTTCAGAAAAAAGGAAACTCTAAAAAAACAACTTATCCAGGATTTCCTAGTTATACAAGAAACATATAACACACATTCTGAATATCACACTGATGGTTCAAAAACACAAAAACACAGAGGAAGGGCCGTCATATCGAAACACTCAGAAACATGCCTAAGACTGCCGCCATTTGTATCTGTCTTTACAGGAGAAGTATATGCTCTTTTGATTGCTCTTGAAGAAATTTTTTCTAAAAACCACAAAAAAAGCTATCATATACACACTCTCTTAGCGCATTAAAAGGCCTAAATTCAAGGTCGAAAAGCAAAGAGTTTCTCGGGGACATTTTACAGATGCTAGGAAGAGCTGAGAAAACTGGCAAGACAATCCGTCTTGTATGGGTGCCGAGCCATATTGGTATCCCTGGAAACAAAAAGGCAGACAGGGTAGCAACAAGGGCAAGTCATCAAAGCATAGCAGAAATACAGGTACCATTCAGAGACTGTTTCAACAGTTGTCGGACAGCCTTTAAGGCAAAATGGCAAGGAGAGTGGCAAACTCTAGTGCATAACAAGCTTCAAATTGTCAAGCCTATTTTACAAGAATGGCAGTGACGCAATCTCCAAAAGCGCTTTATCGAAGTAATACTATGCCGCCTGCGAATAATTCATACTCGCCTAAACCACAACTTTTTACTGCGAGGAGATCAGCCAGAACTCGTACATTGCAAGGAACCTCTGACTGTCAATCATATTTTAATAACATTCCCAGTCTTCGAAAAAAGAAGACACGCTTATTTTAAAAAATTCTACAGAACGCAAACACGTTTACACCCGATGTCAATACTATCAGAAAATGCAATCATCCCCATAGAGGATGTTTTTCAGCTCGTAGAGGCCGCTGGTTTTTTAAACAAACTGTAAACGAAAATCTGCTTTTCTCCTCACATCTTAACCCTAATATCAAAATCACCTAGTGTCTGGCGCATCATAGCTATTGTTGCTTCTGTGCTGTAAAACCCAACATAACTGTAACTGTAGGCACATTGCTGCACTCGTCAGAAAACTTGCCAGAAGACTTTGCCATTTTGCAGTAGAATTTAAATAAAGCGCACCACTTAAAAAAAAAAAAAAGATTAAGAATGCTGCAATGTTTGTTTGCTTGTCTCTTGTTCACTTGCCCAATGTCGAGCTTGATGTCTGCCACCGTGAATCACTGTGCTCGGCTGCTGACCCAATAGGTTCGATTATTGCAGTGCTTGTCACATTTTCAATGCTAGGGGACCATGTAGTGTGCAATCGCGGTGCTTGTTAAAGAACATCAGATGGTCAAAATTTTTGTCGCTCTCCATTACAGTGTGCTTCATTGTTGTGGTTTTGCCTGTAAATTTTATTCTGCATTTGATTAGTCTCGTTGGCTGTGTAAAGAACTTTTCCTTAAACATGTTTGCATGGCAATTTTGTGACTTTTTCTTATTCTGCCAATAGCTGTTGACATGGCCTTCTTTTTCTTTTCCTTTCAGCCACTTCCTCAAAAGATGGCGCAAGTCGACTGGTAAGCCACACATTTCAAACTGCATACAAAATGTTCAGTGTGCGCAAGTTTGTTTTTGTTGAGCTGCTATCACCCCTACAAAGTCGTTTGTGCCTCATGGTGCACACATAAGTGTTGGATAGGCTGCATTTGGGGTTAACAGCCACTGAGCGGTGGGTGGCGCAGTCCTCGTGAGGTTTATTACCATCATCATGGTTGGCGGTATAGTGCCAGCAATGATGCCCGGTGGGAGAGGCTGACTGCAGCACATGAATGGCTCTCTTTGGTGTGTGGCGGCTGGTGTAGATGGTTGCCTCCTGATTGGATCCCGCGGGGTGCCGCAAATGTAGGTCGCATCATGTGGGTTCCTTGCAGTGAGTCTTTCTGTCTCTTTATTTTACAGAATAAAACGAAAACATTAAATTCTGGATGGTCTCGTGGGCTAAAAGCTTTAATGAAACAGCTTGACTAAGGCCCAAAAGACCAATTACACGGCAACAAGTGACAGCTGAAAATTTTTGCACCAAGAATGTACAAGTCATGATCACACATTGTTGAAAAAATTCACAAAAACAAAACATATAACAATACCAGTACAAACGTAACAGGGAATTATTTTGAATGAACGCATTTCTAATAACAAACAAGCAATAACAAAACACCTAAGTTTATTTACAGGAAAAAAAAATGTAATGCTGAAAGTACAAGAAAGAAATACAGCAATAGTACACCTGTAATTTTGGCAGTAAGCTACACGAAACAGCCCCGCCGTGGTGGTCTAGTGGCTAAGGTACTCGGCTGCTGACCCGCAGGTTGCGGGTTCAAATCCCGGCTGCGGCGGCTGCATTTCCGATGGAGGCGGAAATGTTGTAGGCCCGTGTGCTCAGATTTGGGTGCACGTTAAAGAACCCCAGGTGGTCGAAATTTCCGGAGCCCTCCACTACAGCGTCTCTCATAATCATATAGTGGTTTTGGGACGTTAAACCCCACATATCAATCCAGCTACACGAAACAATAATATCCACACAATATAAGAAAAAGAAAGCATGGTAGCTAAGCATACATAAAGGTATACAGTGAAATGTAGTGCAGCATGCATAAATAGTTGAAGTGTATGAATACATTATTAATTCAAAAATAATTAACGTAATGTCTTTAGCACCAGTTTATGTAAATGTTTTTGCTTGTTAAGAATACATGGGAGGTTGTATTTCAACGACTGAAGTTTATAGTCAGTGCTAAAGCGCGGTATAAGCCAGCCTCCAATATTCCTAGTATTCATAGCGTGACTGTTAGTTGAAGCGCAGCCGTGAACTCGATAAATTGTTTTCATGAAGAAGAACATATGTAAAATGATCGCAGGATGTGGAACTCGTACATCTATTGGATTTTAATTATACTGTACTTGCGAAAATATGTCGTTGTCGATGATAAATAACCAGTGTTGGCAATGTGACTGACAGCTTTCTTCTGCAAAAGCAATATTCTGTTGATGTTGCATTGAGTTCTAGTAAGCCAAACCAGACTGCAATAGTGTATGTGTGAATGAAACAGTGCTGAATATATGCTGACTTTTATTTGTGGAGGGAGAATTTCACAACATCGTGACAGAGCTCCCACTGCAAAAGAAATTTTCTTGCATAAATGACTTGCATAAATGAAGAAATGAAAGTTTCTTGCTTATGTGAACACTGTAGTGACAAGGCTCCAGTGTTCCAGGCCGCATGTATGAATGAAACATGTAACCGTATACCAGATTATCGACGCTTTGTTCACTGCTATCGTTGTGTGGTTTGAATTGCTTGCGTCTTTGTTTCCAGGCTCTGGTTTACCCAAATGTAGAAGTTTCATTTCTGAACACGCATAGTGCTGCCTCAGTCAATGTCTTACCACATGACAATAGTGTGCATGCAGAACTGATGCAGTGCTTGTGCAAACAAGAAAGTTGTAAGGAAAAAATCGTTTCTATTGGTTGCATAAACGCTTGATCAACGAAAGCAACTACATTCCTGTGAGAATATTTACAGGGACAACAAACTTCTATTGCAATATGGCACTTAAACGTGCTGTCGACTGTTAAGTCTGTTCTGTGCGTGGGCTTGGCACGCTCGAAGATCATCTGAGTCTATATTAGAAATTTTTTGCGAATTTGTTTTCAGCAAATCTCTGGTTTAGCGGCGCTATACTTTGATTCACTTAAACTGATGACAACATTGAATGCTATGGGTACCCGCAGGAGAATGGAAATTTCTTCGTTAGACGAGTAGATGTGCAAAATCTGATGTTGTTCTATAGTTTTGTCGCACACAAGAACCACTTTTAGGAACCCGATTCCCGATTCTCTCTGTACATATTATGTTAGTTCTGAAAACATTTATTTCAAGTACTGCCAATTGGGTAAGTTGGTGCGTTATAATATCGTATTGCTGTAGCCCACAGTTTCAGCATGAAGAAAAGATGCAGCAGTGAAGAAGGGAAACACAAACAGGATTAGCGCCAAACTTCCAATGTTGTTTTATTGCATGACCCTACAGCTTATAGCTCACGTTACAGTACACATGACACCGCACACATCACAAAAAACCAAACAATGAAGAATGACCAGGAAATGAAGTTTTTAGCAAGTATCACATTCACACTTCTAAGTCAGAACTTCACTGTACATGCCCAAGAAAATCTGTCTTTTTCAAGTAAGGCTGCAAATTACAAACTAACACACACAGGCTCACACCCTTTATGCTAGCATTTGCCTCGATAATCTAGTGTCAACTGGTTAGGACTGCAGTCCTTAAATTTTTAGCTCGTGTCAACTTTTATGAAATGGGATGATGCCGTTCATCTACAGAAAGTAGGGGTATGTATAGGATCATGCATCGCACCCATACTCTGTGATCTTCTAGCTGGATTCGATGTTATTCTGTCCGATCAGCTCACTCAGACGAGTGTTAAAAGCTTTTCATTATGTTGATGATTTTTTCTTTTTATTGAGCATGCTTAAATTGATGTTGAATGTCGTGAGTGTCTGGTAACACTTTACGTCGCGTAAAAGCACAATCCGATTGTGCAAAAAGGCACAATCCGATTTCTTGACCCTCGTCTGTCTTGTTCAGTAGAACAAACTTTCTGGTGCTATGAACCACAGTAAGAAAAGCCTCTCCTACAGTACAATTCAGTGCATTCAAAGCTAATGAAACGATGGATTGCCAGGCTGTGTTGTAGGAACACCGTGATGAAGTCATGCCATTACGCTATGGCTGCAAGTTTTGCAGGACAAAGCAAGCGATGATCCCTCGTAGGCTATCTGGTGTTGGTGCAAGTGTCAGTGGTCGAGTGTTTGTTGCATGATCCACATAGGCGGGGATGGCCGCAGGACAACGATGAGCCACAATGCTGGAAAAACCAATGTCATACCGTAGGTGCATAATATTTCACACCATTTGAAATGGATAGCCCTAGCAGAAAATTCCTCGTTGTCTTCACTACTCCAGAAAAACTAAGTCGACTCTGCAAGCTTACGAATCCTAAGGAGTCTGCACCCGACTGTGGAAAGAGGCATACGACTATGTTTGTTGAATGTTCCCTAGATATGTTTACATGCTCCCTCTGTTGTGTGATAGGATTTACATATGACAGACTGGCAAGTGTGTCAATGACCGCCTGCGTAAGCACTGTTAGTGCAATGTAAAAAATGAGGTTTCTTCTAGTAGTTTCCTGGCTATGCATTGTAAGACATGTGCATGCACTCCATTATCCTTGGCCATAGAAGAGTGGAACTCGCTTTCCGAATCAATTGCCCATCAATGAAATTTAGGCAGTTGGTATCAGCTCACTTGTCAAAATGAAACGGGACATGTCTTCACTTCACCAACTCAAACACGAAAGTGGAAGCTCACTACGAACTGCTCCTTTTTTTCTCAACTATTTTGCCCTGTACCTCTTCATTTTATTTGTTTTTTTAAATAATGTGCCTGCAAAATAATGATTTCATAGTCTCCGTAAGAATGTATAATGAAACCACTCTTCTTCCAAAACCAGTTCACCAATCATATGTAAACACCTACTATGATGCTTATTATATTTTTCTTCATTTTGTGCTTATGAAACCACAATGCAAATACTTTGCCAACACATGCAGGAACACTTAGCACGTCTTTTTTTTTTTTTAACATCCCGTTTCGTGGCATTGTACAAAGCTAACATGCCTTTCTCTTTGTAGTTGTGACCTTGTATGTATATTTTGCTACTTCCCCCCCCCCCCCTTTGTGCAATGCCCCATCAAGGGCCCTTAAGGAACAATAAATTATGTTGATCTTTTGACCATTGTGTAATTTTGCGCTGCAGTCGTAACCAGTTCACACAGATTATTCAGGCGTATTGTCCTGCCGTGGTGGTTTAGGGGTTAAGATACTCGGCTGCTGGCCCGCTGGTCACGTGATGGAATCCTGACTGCTGGGGCTGCATTTTCGATGAAGGCGAAAATGCTGTAGGCTTGTGTGCTCAATCTATGCGCCCGGTAAAGAACCCCAGGTGGTTGAAATTTCCGGAGCCCTCCACTACAGAGTCTCTCATTATCATATGGTTGGTTTTGGGACCACACATCAATCAATTATTGAGGCAAATGCTATTGGGAAATGTGTGAAATTGTATGTGCAAGTACATCATCCATAGCCTTATCTGAAAAGAAGTTGATTTTTTTGGGCGTGTGCAGTGAAGTTCTGACGTAAAATTGTTAATGTGATACTGGCTAAAAACTACATTTTCTGGGCATGTGTGCTGCGCCACATGCTAAGTTTTGTTTTTGTCATGTGTGCAGTGTCACATGTACTGTAAGGTGAGCTATATATTGTGCTGTAGGGTCATGCAGTAAGCAAGTCTAGCAGTTATCCTGTTGTCTGTACTCCCCTTTTTTACTATTGCATCTTTTCCTTATGCTGTGCTATAGCAACACAATATTTATTTTGAAGCTATCTCAATGTTTACTACATTTGAGCCTGATACCATGTCACGATTCAGGAAAACTT